ACCTTCAAAACCTTCAACACCTCCAACACCTTCAAAACCTCCAACCCCTACAAAACCTTCAACACCTCCAACACCAACAAAACCTTCAACACCTCCAACACCTTCAACACCTTCAAATCCTCCAACACCTTCAACCCCTCCTAAAGCCACTTGCCCAATAGACACTCTAAAATTGGGTGTGTGTGCTAACTTGCTCAACAACCTTCTCCCCATAGTCATCGGAAACCCATCCGAGACACCATGTTGTTCCCTCCTTTCCGGCATCGCAGATCTTGACGCTGCAGTTTGTCTCTGCACTGCCATTAAAGCTAATGTTTTGGGAATCAACCTCAATGTTCCTGTCTCATTAAGCGTGTTGCTTAACTACTGTGAAAGGAAGTCCCCATCTGGCTTCCAATGCACCTAGATTTTGAAAGCTTATAACTATAGATTGTTGTATTTTGGAATATGTTTTCTTATGTTTAATACGATGTAAAGAATCAATTACTATATGATTCCAGAATAAAGTCGTGTACTATATTTTGAAATTTTAGTGACTTTAACAAAATATCAACTCTGAAAAAGCTCCTAACATACAAAATAAATAAATGTAACTTAATAATCTACTTTATTTACAATAGAATAATACATTCTGAATTTATGGTACTCTAACTCTTCAAGGATATGAAGCTTATATATTATCATAAGAATCTATAACATGATATGTAATTATATCTAACCAAAATTAAGTTCAGATTACAAAAATATAGTTGTTTGCATGTTTTTAGTGCGACAATTAAATAGAAAAGATCGAGGAGAACGAAGATAGTCAACCTCCTATTAGCGTTGACAACAAAAGAAGTAACACCAACTTTAATTATACGTTATGGAAGGGAATTATTCTTTTAAGAAATGAGAAATTAAATATGCTTATATTTATTCTTTTTATCTATCATTCTACCTTTTTTTGGAACCCATAAATATTATAAATAAAGACCTAACTCCTAGCAAGGAACTTGAAGGGGCCAAAAAGGAGATAGCTAAACATATTTACATTCAGAGAAAAAGGGTTAACACAACAATGAGTCCATCTAAATGAACTAAGGATTCCACTTTTCTTGAAAATCCAATCACACCTCGCCTTCCATATCAACCATGCAGCTCCATAACATATTCGAATGCGACTTTTTCTCCTGACATAATGCAAAAATGGTCCTTGTGGTTTTTTATTTCATGTGGTTAATATCCATACCTTTAAAAGTTGTAGATTTTTCATTTTCAAAAAGTTTTGTTGTGGTTTTGGTCCAATTCCATTATCTTTAGCAACTTCGGCTGTTAATTTTTTTAAAATGACTATTATACTGTTAAGGACCATTTCTGCAACCAAACTACAAGGACCATTTCTACATATCTTCTTTTTATTTTTATTGAATTAGTATATATTAATAAATGTTATTTTTAATATATATTATTTATATATTAATAAATATTGTTTTATTAAATTTTTAATTTCTTTGTTATGAGATATTTTAATTGGATTATTTTATATGAATAAATATTATTTTTAATATATAATATATATTGGATTATTAATTTATTTTAGTTATTTTCGTCTATTGGAGTATTTCTTTTTTTATTGGATTATTATATATTAACAAATATTATTTTTAGTTTATAATATTTACATCCTAACAAATATTATATTATCAGATTATTAATTTCTTTTAGTTAGCTTTTTTAATTCTTTTTTTCGGATTAATTATTTTTTATTGGAATATTACTTTTAATTTATTATTTTTTTATATAATAAATATTATTTTGTTGGATTATTAGTTTATTAATTTATTTTTAATATATACTATTAGTTTTATTAGTTCCAGCACAAAGTCGTCAGAATACGCAAAAATGTTGCCTCTCATCATCGAAAATTGTCGGGATCACCACAAAACATCTTCATCGGAGGTCGGACATAAACCTACCAACATTTTCCATCCAATGACGATGGTAGTCACCTGTGATAACACCACTACCATCACCCGATCACCACCACCACTTTAAATGTTTTATAGGAGTTTGTTCTGCATTGTGTGGGATATGGAGGATTCCAGCAGATTGTGAAGAGGTTGTCGTAGGTAGATACTAAGAGTGTTTGGTAGAAAAAGTTAATAGGGTTTACGTTAGACCTCCAATAAAGGTTTTTGGCGGTGATCCCGACGATTTTCGTTGATGAGCAAGCGGTGTTATTGCGTATTCCGACAACTTTTTGGTGGAACTAATAAAATTAAAAACAATTAATATTGTACAATAAAATAAATTATAAATATAATAAATAATATTTATTATTTAAAAAATAATAAATTGAAAGTAATAATCCAAAAAAATTAATCTAAAAAAAGGAATTAAAAAAATTAACTAAAAGAAATTAACAATCTGATAATATGATATTTATTAGGATATAAGTATTATAAATTAAAAATAATATTTATTAATATATAATATTCCAATAAAAAAGTTAATCCAATAAACAAAATTAACTAAAATAAATTAATAATACAATATAATAATATTTATTAATACATAAATAATATATATTAAAAATAATATTTATTCATATATAATAATTCAATTAAAATATTCGATAACAAAGAAATTAAAAAATTTTAATTAAAAGAAATTAATAATCTAATAAAAGAATATTTATTCATATATAAATATTATATATTAAAAATACCATTTATTAGTATATAATAATTCAATAAAAATAAAAAGAAGATATGTAGAAATGGTCTTTGTAGTTTGGTTGCAGAAATGGTCTCTAAGGATAAAATATTCATTATAAGGAAGTTCACAGCAAAACTGTTAAAATTAACGGATGATTGATCAATACCACAACAAAACTTGTTGAAAAGACCACATCTACAACTTTTCAAAGATTTCCACACTAACCACATAAAATGAGAAACTCATTTTTGCAGTTTTGTCTTTTCTCCTCTTCAAACAATCCCCCCATTTTGCACAAAACTCGACCACGTCACCAAAGTTGTAATGACTAACGTCTTCTACTACTTTTAGACAAGGTTGTAAAAATCGCTCGACGTTAGCTAGTCGGTGGACTGGGGTCAAGGGATTAATCGGCTATGCGGAGATTAATCGGACGATTAATCGGGGACCATTAATTGCTAATTTGATAGATTTTAAAAAATTAAATACGACTAATATCATATAAAAGTTCGTAAATACCACTAATATTATAACAAAATAGGTTAATATGATAAATACAACACTAATCATGCCTCAAATAGTTTCCGTTGAGATATAACTTCTTCAAAGTGTTAAAATTTCATCGGGTTCTACTGTTTCAGTCATTGTGTATGTATGGATTAATCGCTAGGCGCCTCTAATCGGTTGAGTAGCGCCTAGGGATTAATCGGAGATTAATCGGGACCTAATCGAGATTTTTACAACAGTGCTTTTAGATAATGATAAGTGTAATAAAAATTTATTAATTTTATTAAATATTACAAGTGTCATAATCATAAGTGCAGGAAGATGGTAGAAGAAAAAAAAAGATATTTGATTTCTTGAAAGAAATTAATTGGGGTGATTGGATTTGTTTTACCTTTAACTCCTTGTAACTTTTTTTCCCCGCTTGATGCCTTACGAAGTGTTTTACTATAATAAACTATAGGTCATTTCAAAAAAATAAAAATAATAATTCATTCGTATAATATATAATATTTTTAAATCTATTAATATATATATACAGTGAAATATATATTTTATATAGATAAATTAATTTTTTAAGT